ATTCGATGGAATAATGTGACTGCATTAAAATATTGAAAATTTTGGGTATCCTTATAGGGGACCAACCAATATGCAAATAAATTAAAATTAATTGGACTAAAATAAACATATAAAAATATTTATATTTTACGTACTCCTCAGGAGAGAACTATTCAAAAAACCAATACCAATTTTAAGAGACGGTAGAAGTCTAAGTTAAAAATAATTTGTGACATATGCCGGTTTTATTAAATATATGATTACCGTAGCGACTACTTAAAATAGATTTAAAATCGCTAAACATTAGACGACCGAAATGAAGAAATCAGCTTAAACCAAAAAACCAAGGCGTTATATTAAAAAATTTAAGTTGGAGCGTATTGAATAAACGAGAAACTCGGACAAGGGTTGACTTGTCCATGTGAAGATCTAAACGGGGTATAATTAAATTCGTATTCCTAGAAAAGCGGGACAAATTAAATGTACTGGCCAAAAAAATAGGACATTGCGATTTATAACTTTATAAAATAATAATAGACATCGAAGATCGACGAATCTTCTTAATATACTGAGGAAGGACTAGGTCGCAGCTATAAAGCCTTCGCAATGCAATGTTAGTGCGAGAAACCACGCAATCGATGTGAGATGTAAATGACAGCTTATCATCCATAAGTACACCAAGAATTTCCAAAACACCAACAATTTGTATTTCGACCCCTTCGTATTTAACAGTCAGGTCATTAGGATAAGAAGAAAAATAACAGATACTTAGTTTTCGACGTATGTATGTCCAACTTATTTTAAGTCATCCAACTACTCGCTAAGAAAAGTGTAAAATCAATTTTAGATTGCAAAACATCCATATTAGACACTTGACCCGTGAATAACAGCTGGACGTCAACCGCAAACAAATACGCTGAACAAAAGTCAACTATACTGGAAGTCAAATCGTTAATAAATCGTATATACATACAGTGGTGGTCACAGAATTAAAACATTTACTGAGGTAAAAATATATCGATCAGCCCTCGATTAGTTTGAAGTATTTTTGAAATTTTTTTCATTCAGAACACTTCGATATACTGCACTTAAGAGATTTAGTGTGAAAATAGAAAAATTTTGCATGCAATTTTTCCATAAATAACGGTTTTTATGAAAATACCTCGATTTTGAAGTGGCCATATAATTAAAACATTGTGTGGGATTTTTTACTTTACTGCATTTTTTGAAAATATTTTTAGAAAAGCTCTTTAATTTAGTTAAATTATGTAAACTAAGCACCGATAAAATCATTTACAAAAAAAAAAATTTTGAAAAAAATCTGTAAAATCTATCAAAATTGCCAACAATTTGTACAGTACACCTTACGTTCAGAAAATCACCCTTATTATAGAAAATAAAGGTCCGAATGCACCAGAAATTGCTAGAATTAGTAGAAAACAATTAATAATTCTCAAATTAAAGAAATATTTGAAATAAAAATTCAAAAAATTGGAAGGAACGATTCAATTTCAATAGTCTTTACTGAAGAAGGCCGGAATATTTTTGCAGTATGTGAGAAAAAATGGATTGATATTGGTATTTATTATATCAAATCGACTGTTCGAAGTACAGAATATATTTTATCAAAAAATATATTTGTCAAAAAACGTAGAGATCAACGCCTAGGTTGACGAGTAAAAGTTTCTGGCACACAGCAGCATTTTTGATGTTCAACACAAGACTTCAAATATTTGTCAAACTGTAACATTTTTACTTCCTTGATACTAATATAGATTAAGTGGAAGTTATTCGAATCAAAAAATATTATTTTGGAAAAATATTGTCATGTTCAATAGATTTTAAGGGTCAAGAGTTGACCATCAAACATGCTGCTGTGTGCCAGAAACTTTTATGGTCAACCTAGGCGTTGATCTCTGTTCACAGATATATTTTTTGATAAAATATATTCTGTACTACTCGAACAGTCGATTTGATATAATAAATACCAATATCAATCCATTTTTTCTCACATACTGAAAAAATATTCCGGCCTTCTTCAGTAAAGTCTATTGAAATTGAATCGTTCCTTTAGGTTAATTCCCATTTTTTTGAGTTATTATTTCAAATATTTCTTTAATTTGAGAACTCGTTAAGGTTTTCTACTATATAGCAATTTCTGGTGCATTCGGACCTTTATTTTCTATATTTGGGTGATTTTCTGAACGTAAGGTGTACTGTACAAATTGTTGGCAATTTTGATAGATTTTACAGATTTTTTCAACAATTTTTATCTGTAAATGATTTTATCGGTGCTTAGTTTACATAATTTAACTAAATTAAAGAGATTTTCTAAAAATAATTTCAAAAAATGCAGAAAAGTAAAAAAATCCCACACAATGTTTTAATTATATGGCCACTTCAAAGTCGATGTATTTTCATAAAAACCGTTATTTATGGAAAAATTGCGTGCAAAAATTGTCTATTTTCACACTAAATCTCTTAAGTGCAGTATATCGAAGTGTTCTGAATGAAAAAATTTTCAAAAATACTTCAAACGAATCGAGGGCTGATCAAAAAATGTTTACCACAGTAAATGTTTTAATTCTGTGACCACCACTGTATATGCTATTTTCAATACCAAACATTCTAGGAGTAGTAGGAATGAATATGCAAAATTTCAATCGTATATATTGTTAGGTCTGCGTTACCTCGATTGTCAAACAGGGCTATATTCCTATTTGGATTTTTTATGGATGTCTGAAGTGTTTTCTAAAAATTTTCATTATTCTGGAACACCTTTTAAAATAGAGGCAATTTTTAAAATTAATTGTTATATATTCTTTGCCTTCATATTGCTTGGTTTTAGTTAAGTATTGTCTTTTAGTTAAGTATAGGTCTTATCTCTACGATCGTGAAAATATATGACTTTCATGGGATGTCCATATTTCCCAAGATATGGACCTCTGAAGTTCAGAAATTCATATACTCATAAATTCGGGATTTATAGGCCCTCAACTGGTACCTCGTAACTTCATTATTAATTTCTGAAAATTTTACATTAAGATCTTCTTACCTGTTATAGGGATATCCATTCATGTTCTGTAGGAAAATAGGGAAACAAAATAAATTACAATTATACATTTTTTTTTTTAATTTTTATAAAAATTCAATATTTACCTTCAATCCCCCCTGCAATTCCTCCTTTGGTTTGGCCCATTGAACCTTCAAATCCACACCCCACATACGAACACGACCGGGTGTTAAACGCTTCTTAGCCTCCAATGCCATTTCATGATCTTTAAATTCGATAAAAGCAAAGCCACGATTTTCCTCCTTCTCGGCAGAATCAAAACTACCACCACCACCAATATAGTTCAACATCGAAGATGACTTCGTTTTGTAATAATTCCTCAACGGTGGATACGCGGTACATGTGTGCATTTGTGGAAAACACAACTTGAATTGTTCCTGCAACATATGCAACGGTATGGAGCGTGGTATACCACTGATGTATAGACGATTTTTACCCTGCGAACGATAAACACCCAAACGATCTTCACTGCCGCATACAAATAAATGTTTAAGCAGTTCAAATGCGGCCAAGGCATCACTTTCGCTACAAAAACGGATGAAGGCATAGCCACGTGTCGAACTGCCAGTATCCATCATGAGGCGAAATTCATACACCCGACCGATGCGATGTAACCACATCAGGAATGCCAATTCATCCAAATGGGTAGGTATACGTGTGACATATAATTCACATTGATATGTTGGTGGAGGCTGGTTGTAGTTTGGTGGTGGCCCATATACCTTGCGTCCATTTTCCAATATAACCGGTAAGGGTTCAAAGTTGACACTGGTCATCATTACACGACGGTCATTGGACTGTGATGGTGGTAGTTCGCTATTTTTTAGCATTTTGTTGCGGCGACAATTTGACCTTGGAACATAAATTTCATTCAAAATATTTTTTTTATTTGGCCATGTATTTCAAATGAATTCACTTAATTGGCCATTAAACACAAGTTTCTGTTTCCAGGGGTTTTTCTATTAATTTCGAAATACACAGTTCCGAGAAAGACACTTAATAATTAATTTATATCACTCTCATTATTTATATTGATTTTTATTTATTATTTTAAAAGAAATCCTTACAAAAGTTTCGTTCGATCGTTGTAATATGATTCCAGTAATTAATGCGAAGATGCCGGAGTGAATGCTTTTCTAACGGTATTTTTCAACAACTGAAACAAAATTGAAAAACGTTCCACATGCTAACAAATTGGAGCAGAAGACAAAATTACCCATAAAGAAGAAAATTTACGACTGAGGTCGGATGGCGACTAAATGAAAACCGAATTGTTTACGAATGAGGTGGGATGGCGACTAAATGAGAAAAGACTTGTATATGAATGAGGTGGAAGGGACCTCCTAATAACAGGGTGTTTCAGAGATGACGGCGTCCATTTGAACATTTCACAGTAATAGTGATGGCAAAACATGAAAAGTGTTGCCAAGTTGTTGGTAGTGTAAGGACGGCCGATATAACACCTGTTGTGTTTTAATCAATTCAAATTGGAAATGAAGATCAAATTTTGTAGGAATCAATTTTTTTTTACAAAAATAACAAGAGAATACTCTTGATTTAAGACTACAATTTATTTGATATAAACACTTTGAAATTGACTTTTGAAACGAGTGACTGAAATCAGTATAAACCTAATACATATAAACATTTAACATCTTAATTTTGACGCCGTTAAAATTTGCACAGAGCGACAACCATTTCTCATTATGTCAACAAACTTGGCTACACTGTTGGGCAACGGTTTTTTCTTCATTCAATGGAATTTCTACGACGTTAAAGAACTGTTTTGTGGCGTTTGAATGCAGCTGAGTTTTTGTTATTGCAAAGAAGCTTCTAAATTCCCTTTTTCTTATCGAAAATGGAATATACCCAAATCCCCATTTATTCGAGCAATTTTTTGCCCCAAACTTCTACACCGACGAACTATGGAGTTAACTGTGCAAGCAACATGAGTAGTTCGCCAAATTCCGGTGGTCCTAACTACGAATATGGTGGTGCTGGAGGTGCAGCAGGTACTGCAATATCATCTTCGCCAACATCCAGTGGTGAATCGCCGCCACAACAATGGCAACAGCCAGGACCCACTGTAGAGTTAATGCACATGAATGGCCGTAAGGTATTGGGACCACCTGAAGATTGGGTTGGACCTCCACCAAGTAGTGTCTGCGAACTATTTGTTCGACGTATTCCAAGAGATTTAAATGAACACAAACTTTTGGCACCCTTTCTAAGATTTGGACGTATCTATGAAATACGTCTGCCCATGGACTTTAATCAATCATATCGTGGCTATGCCTACGTTAAGTACACTAATGAAGAGGATGCTGCATGTGCTATGGAAGTATTGAATCATTATTATGTTCAGACCGGTCGTAAATTGGAAATTTTACATTCCTACGAAAAGTGTCGTTTGTTTGTGACGAATATACCAAAACATTTGGAAGAGCATGAAATTGAGTCGGAGTTTCGTAAAACATTTCCAACTATGGAGCGAATATATACACGGCCATCCAGTGATGGCGGTAATTATAGCGGTGGTGGAGGAGGAGGATGTGGTGGTGATTCAGTTTCTCCCAGTCACGGCATTGGAAATCGTGGTCATGTGTTTGTCCATTTTCCATCCCATTTGCATGCTTTGGAGGCCAAGAAGAATATAACACCGGGTTTGATTCGCATGTGGGATAAGGATTTGAAAGTTGTCTGGGCCCATACTGATCGGGAAAATAATGCAACAAAGGCGGTAAGTAAATTAAATTGCCAAAAAATGTTCTTCAAACAATTCAAGCTTTAAATGGTTCTTAAAAAAATAATACTTCGAAGAACCCGGCTTTGAATGACCCTTGAAAAAATATTCATTGGCATAGATACAATAATAGACCTTAAAAAATATTCATTAAAAATTCCCGCCTGTTTTTAACTCTAAAAAATCTACGCCTATCATGGACCTGGAACAAATTGTTTAACAAATCCACTATTGTCATAAAGATTTTTTTTAATCTACAAGATGTGATGCTCTTAGAAAATGTCTGGAATGGTCCTTGAAGAAATATTAATAAAAAAATCCATGGTCCATTAAAAAATTGCCTTTTGAAAAATTCTCATCAGGTGATGGTCCGCCCACAAAGCAATTCTATTTAAAACGAGTTTCTCGAGTTTTCGAGAGTCAATTCTTGTGAAAAACGTTACCAAAAATTCTCGAAAATTTCGAAACTTGTCATTTTCTGTTATATGGAAGATACATCGAAACATGGACCAATATTGATCATTTTCGATAAGATTTTCTAACTAAAGAGAAAGCAAAATAAGAGTTGCGGACTATTTGGTTGAAAAACGTGCCCAAATCCACAAAATATCGACAGTTGGAAGGTACTTTTATTTGGGATCGATCCTAAAAAAATTGGACCTCATACCCGCTCAGGGCCCAAAATACTAAATCAGAACCGATTCCATTGAAATGAGAATATTGAGGGCAAAGTTATGAGGCACTGTGAGAGGTACTTTCTATCTATCCTAAAAATTTTACCTACACACACTCAGCACCAAAATACCAAATCGGAAATAAATCTACTGCTATCTATCAACTATACCAAAACATGAACCCCATTTTCAATACAAAACTTCCTTCGATGTCGAATTTTATGAGTGTCAATAACTTCGAACTTGTGATGGTTTTTGAACAATTATAGTAAATAAAAATCCATTCTGAAGGTCCTGAAAATATTCTTATGAACATTATGTTTGAAATGGTTCTTGAAAAAAATTTTTATAAAAATTCATCCTAGTGACGATTTCGAAAAAAATATTAAAAAACCCTACGCAGAATAGTCTGAAAAATTTTGTTTGAAAAAATATTCTTTAAAAAATCAAGCTTTAGATCCAATGTCAAAAAAAATGTTTAAAAATCCCTCCTGGTTATGATCTCTTGAACCAGTATTATTTTTTAAATAACTTCCTTTAAATTTAACTAATTTTTATATTTTCCAGTCAAAAACATTATTCGTTCGTAATGTCGATCTGACTGTCAATAATCGTGATATTATCGAGCTGCTTGTGAAATATGTACCACGCACCACAGTCTGCAAAATATCCAAAGTTCGTACCACTGCCTTTTTTGATTTTACCACACGTGAAGCTGCCGAAATTTGCCTAAAACAACTTCAAGGTGTAGAGCTGAGAGGTCGCCGCTTAGATGTGGAATGGGCAAAACCATCTGAACAGTAAGATTATACATTTTTTATTATTATTTTCTTATTTTAAAATTTCTAATCTTCCTCATTTCCCCAGACAATCATTACATCGTATGCGTGGCACAGATTTCGATGCCGTCTTACGCCTCAAATGTATTGCCAATTGTTGGCATATTCCCATCATCATTTTTGGTTGTTACTATGAACAGGAACATTTACAATATGGTGTGGTCATTTTAAGGGATGCCCATGGTATGGTACGGGCAACATTTTGCTTAATGAAGACCACGGAATTGGTAGATATCCATTCACGCATGTGTGAAGTTGTGTGTGCTCTGATTGAAACAATTGGAGCATTTCCAGATTACAATTATGTTTTTATGGTGGAAAAGGATTCGGCACATTTGTGTAAGTACAAAGAAAATTTATATAATTATAATCAAGGTCGTATTTTTTTCCAAAAATGGGTTAGTTTAATTTTTTTTTTACGAAATATTCTATTTTTTTATTTATTCTCCTTCCAGTGGGCATGATAATGTTTAATCCCTATTCTCCCGATTTCATGGCTGCCTGTGGTGTACCCCCCGATTTTCATTTCGATTTAAATGAACTAATCGATTTAAGCTCAGCCGTAATTTCGTTATCATATTTGTCGGAAAATATTCTACTGACAGCCTATAAAGAAAGTTTTCGCTGTCAAAGTGATTGTACATATCTTCAAAATTGGCCACTGATTGGACATCGTTTATTTGGCACGATAATGCCCAAGTATCGTAATAAGCCCCCCTTAAAATATAATTTAAATGATACACAAATTGTAATGGCGCTGTGCTTCAAAACGACTGGTACCAATGCAGCTTCCCCGACTACCAGACAATATACGGCATTTCGGGTCTGCAGCTATGATCAGGGCTATGAGGGTTTACGTTATGTTACTTTGAAACTTTTACCCGTTGCCTTGACACAATCACGTTTCGTTGTGTCGCATGTCTTGAGTCATGTTCTATATGGTGGTACACAATATTATCATCCATCACAGCGTATTATGTTGCCACCATTGTGGATAACAGGTTGTTCGTATGCCGAATCTATTAAACAGCTGCCACACTTTGAACCAAAAAAGGAGGAAAACCCGCAGGAGGAGGAGAAGGGGACACAAGCAAATGATATAATAAATAATATGCAACAATTATCAATACAATTTACACCACAGCAATCATCGACACCCACACCACCACAACATTCAAATCAACAGATGATACCACCACCTCCAGGAATTTTTATATCCACCACCACGGCTTCATACAATCAGGCTCCAGTGCCAACAGGCATGGTTAATTATCTCACACAACAACCTGTTGCCTCTTTTCCAAATGCTGCACAACATTTAACTCTGCTCCGTCCTGTAAATGGCGGCTATTCTCCCCCATAATTTATATTTATATTGAAATTCATTTTAGAATTTAATTTTTAACTTGCGTTATGAGTTTTTTTTTATTTTGTGTATTTTTGTCCATTTTGCATGGTTTTTATTTTTCGTCTCTTTAATATCATTGTTCGTTCGTTGTTTTCGAAACCTTTTAAACTAGTTTTTATCATTATTGTCAGAATGTTTTTAAATATTTTTTATATTTTTTTATGTTGTAAACCTGAATTTCCTTCCATTCTTTTAAAAAAGAAAATGCCATTCCATTTTCATTAGAATATCTTTCTACATATAAGTTTATAATATATAAATACATATTTTTTAATAATAAATATTGAAATTTAAAATTGCCAGACTTTAAATATTATTGAAAAGTGGCTTTCAAAATCGATGGTACGATCAGGAGTGTCGTGATCAGGGTGCGCAAAAATTCGCTCGCGAATAATAAAAAATACGATTGTTTTCGTTTGTGCTCTTTCTGCGAATGAATTTATCACGATAAATTCTTTACCCAACGAGCATTCGTCACACGAATGTTCACACACACACATTACAAAAAAATGCGAGCACACAACGATCGTTCGTTGCGGTGGTGGTTGAAATCATTTCTGACATTTATTCGCCTTTTTAGGCGATAGAAAATTAAAATGACCTTTTTAGGCGATAGAAGCCTTTAAAGGCCTTAAAATGACTTTTTAGACCACAGTAAATTAAAATGCCTTTTTTAGGCGATAGAAGCCTTTAAAGCCCTTAAAATGCCTTTTTAGACCAAAGAAAATTAAAATGTATTTTTTAGACGATAGAAGCCTTTAAAGGCCTTAAATGCATTTTTTAGGCGATAGAAGCCTTTAAAGGCCTTAAAATGAATTTTTTAGGCGATAGAAGCCTTTAAAGGCCTTAAAATGGCTTTTTAGACCACAGGAAATCAAAATGCCTTTTTTAGGCGATAGAAGCCATTAAAGGCCTTAAAATGCATTTTTAGACCACAGAAAATTAATATGCCTTTTTTAGGCGATAGAAGCCTTTAAAGGCATTAAAAATCCTTTTTAAGCCACAGAAAACTAAAATGCGGTTTTTAGGCGATAGAAGCTTTTAAAACCCTTAAATGTGTTTTTTAGGCGATATAAAATTAAACTGCCCTTTTTAGGCGATAGAAGACATTAAAGGCCTTAAAATGCCTTCTTAGGCCACGGAAAACTAAAATGCGGTTTTTATGCGATAGAAGCCTTTAAAGGCCTTAAAATGCCTTTTTTGGGCGATAGAAAATGCCGTTTTAGACCACAGAAAACTAAAATGAGGTTTTTAGGCGATAGAAGTTTTTAAAGGCCTTAAATGTGTTTTTTAGGCGATATAAAATTCAAATGCCCTTTTTAGGCGATGGAAGCCTTTAAAGGCCTTAAAATGCCTTTTTAGACCACAAGCGATAGAAGCCGTTAAAGGCCTGAAAATGCCTCTTTTAGGCGATAGAAGCCTTTAAAGGCCTCAAAATGTCTTTTTAGACCACAGAAAATTAATATGCCAAATTACAGGGAGAAACGGAGAGAGTATTTTCAGAAAGAAGAAAGAACAAGAAAAACGTGAGCGTGAGCAAATCGAGTCAGAATGAAGTCCGGATTTTACCAACGAGTAAAACACTAACCGAAGGCTTTGGTGCAGCCACATCTTCCTGTAGAGATGAAGAAGGAAACCTGGTGACAGATACAGATAGCGTGCTGATCTGGAAGGAGCATTTTGAAATACTTCTGGTGTCGGAAGAGAAAGAACAAGAAAAACGTGAGCGTGAGCAAATCGAGTCAGAATGAAGTCCGGATTTTACCAACGAGTAAAACACTAACCGAAGGCTTTGGTGCATCCACATCTTCCTGTAGAGATGAAGAAGGAAACCTGGTGACAGATACAGATAGCGTGCTGATCTGGAAGGAGCATTTTGAAATACTTCTGGTGTCGGTGAAGAAGATACCCCAGAACCAATAAGAGAAGACGGTATAGAGTGTATACCGCCAAGATGAGGTCAGAACAGCAATTAATTGCCTGAAGAACAATAAATTCAAGACTGGTGATCAGATGCTGGTCAGGAGCATGCACCAGCTCATTTGTACAATTTGGCATACCCTTAGCATCCTGTGTCCCGTGCACAAAAAATGAGACAAGACGAAATCCAAATCCTGGAAAAGACTTACGAAAAACACATCAACACTTTCCACCCATTCGTCGCATTCGACAGCCCTATCCGTTCAGATGTATTTAAAACCTTGTTTGGCATTCCTGCAAAATTAATTCCGCTATGAAGGATAACTTTAACTGGCACGAGATCGGCAGTTAAAGTCGGAAAGGACTTCTCGGAGCCCTTTAATACCGAACAAGGATTCAGACAAGGTGACAGTTTGTCGTGTGATCTTTTTAACATCCTGCTGGAAAAGGTCATAGGAGACGCAAAGGTGAACTGAAATGGCACTCTGTACACCAAACAACACATGTTACTCGCCTACGCCGATGACATCGATATAATGGGTCGAACATTGCAAATTGAGAAGGAGTCTGCCAAAGTGGGACTGACAGTAAATGGCGAGGAGACCAAGCTGATGCTATCAACGCTCAAGATGTCCAGTATACTCGGACCAACTGCGAACTTGAAAACTACAGCATCGAGGTAGTTAAAGATTTTATATACCTTGGTACCGCCATAAATAAAACTAATGACATTAGTTTTGAAATTCGGAGAAGGATAGTGATGGCCAACACATGCTACTATGGTCTTAGTAACCAGTTTAGAAACTAGGCCACATCCCGCCAGACCAAACTCACACTTTACAAGACGCTGATACTACCTGTGCTGTTATATGGATCGGAAGCATGGGTACTTGCGCAAGCAGATGAGGCTGCTCATGGAGTGTTTGAGAGAAAAAATCTCCGAAAGATATATTGGCCGATTTGCGTTAATTGTGAATATCGCCGTCGAATGAACCATGAGTTGTACCAGCTATTCTCGGACAACGGCATTGTTAGACGTATTGAGCTGCAGCTACTACGTTGGCGAATGAATGAGAATGCCCCAGCTCAAAAGGCATATAAAAGCGAACCAGCTGATGGTTCACGCAGAAGGAGAAGGCCACGAATAAGATGGAAAGATCAAGTGGAAGACAACATTGCCGAATATGGTGTTTCAAATTGGAAAAACTGCACAAAAGACCGACGCGCCTGGAAACCTTTTTTAGGCTCGGCTTATGGAACAACCATTATGTAACAAGCCAGTTAAGTAAGTAAGGTTTTCAAAATCATCTTAGAAAATGGAACAGAAATTCGATATTCAATTATAGGAGCGAATCCTAACACCATTGACATTGTGGACCATTGTGGCAAATTTAATTGGTCAGAATGTTATAGATTTTGAAGGCGAGGTAGATTTAAGGATACCTTGGGGGGTTTCTTATAGATCAAGCCCCATATAAACGTCCCCACCCCATGGTGGATGCCCGTCCGAATTTAACAACGATTTTTTTTAATTTTTGGTGTTCTCTAATATTGTTTTTTTATTTATATAAGTAAATAATATATATAATATTTAGCAAATAGTATATGAACACTTGTATAAAATAACATTAAATATTAAAGCTATAAAATATCAGGATAGACAACTGGCGAATTAAACAATTATAATTTGTATGGGTATGGTAATTGTAGGGAATTAATTAGGATATGTCTTTTTTTAAAGGCAATTAATATTATTTCTAATGATGAACATAGATTCCATGAACACAACAGCGGGGGATGCGTAATTTAGGGATGTTTTTTCACTTCTTCTTTTTCACTAATTTCCTCTTCTTCCTCCTCCTCTTCTTCGACTTCTTCTTCCTCCTCTTCCTCGGTCTCCTCTTTCTTAGTTTCAGCACCTTTCTTAACATCGCTTTCCAACAATGAACTACGTCTTCGTTGAATATATTTTTGTTCTTCCTCTTCAGGATCTGAACCCCATACCGTATCGGGTGGTTCAGGTGTATCACTTGTTGTGGCGACTTGTTCGCTATTTTCCTCCGAAGCCTCTGACATGGGTTCACCTTCACTGGTGGCATGATCATCTCCATCCAAATGGGGTCGTTCAATAAATATGCGATTGATAATCAGGCGGCGTATATTCTGCGAAGGTATATCCACGAGGAATGAAACCACGACAGCACCCAATAAAATCAGGGCAATTTCTTGGAAATTAAACTGAAAAAAAGGGAAGCAATTTGTTCCTTTTAAATATAAATTTTTGCGAAAAACTCCTTACCAAATCGGTTAAATGAAATTTATCCGTTTCCTTGACCTTTGCCGTACCATAGAGCACCACAATGTACATGACCATTTGTATGGGAAAAATCAGGCGGGATAATACCAAAAATACCTTGGATGTTGTTAAAAATTTCAATATTGGATTTTCACTATCCCTTGGCAGCATAAAAATAATCCAACACAAACTAAGGCCAAATACCAGAGGACACCACGATGCGTAAGAGGCAGCATCCGAAGAGGTGTAAATAAAATCGGTACGCATACTTGAGGCGGGAGACCAAAAACACCATAAAATCCCCAAGCTGGCCAACGACCAACCAAATTTCACCATTTCCGGAGTCAGATCCAAAACACCACTATTGGAACGTTGAAAAATGCCCGCCCCTATACCCAGCAGATAGGTGGTGGCACGACTTATGGGCGAGGAATACAAAATATTGGCAGTTCGATAGAATTTACTAACGCTGCAAAAGGGAAAATAATTAAATTAGCTATAGGTTTCGAATTTTTAAGAGGTCTTCCTTACTTGATGCCATGGAACAGGGTCATAGACAGATGTTCCTTATTGGTTCTAGCATAGCGTGCCGCAACCGACATGGCATGCAAACCTCCATAGACAAAAAATGAGGCATCTGAATCTGTGTAATAAAGCCAGACTACCAGGGGACCCATTAGATATAATTGAACCTCCAGGGCCAGTTGAATGGTGGATGGAGAACACTAACAGAGAGTTGGCAGAAAATTAAAAAATGTTAATCAGTGCCCTGTGGAATTAATCCTCAGGGGGCCTTATGACTATTTTTTCTAAAAAAAAGTACACCACAGAAAGAAAAAGGGCCTGAGGAGACTTTTATCTACAAAAAAGTGTCCTCAGGGGGTCTGAGGAATCTTCTTTTTATAAAAATGGGGCCTGACGCGTATTTTTTTTTTTTTTTTTTTTTTTTGTAGGAAAAGGCGGCCCTAAGGATTTTTTTCTATAGAAAAAGGTGTCCTCAGGGGCCAGAACAAGTTTTATATACCTTAGGGCCCTAAGAATTTTTTCTATAGAAAAAACTGTTTTCGGGAGAGGGGGCCCGAGGCATCTTTTATCAATAAAAAAAGGTGTCCTCAGGGGCCCTACGAATTTTTTTCTATAAAAAGTCTAAAGGAAAACATGTATCCTGTCGAATTTGTTTCTTTAGAAAACAGGTGTCCTGACGAATTTGTTTCTATAGAAAACAGGTGTGCTGACGGATTTGTTTCTTAAGAAAACAGGTGTCCGGACGATTTTTTTCTGTAGAAAAAAATGTGTCCTGACGCATTTTTTCCTATAGAAAAAAGGTGTCCTGACGCATTTTTTCCTATAGAAAAAAGGTGTCCTGACGCATTTTTTCCTATAGAAAAAAGGTGTCCTGACGAATTTGTTTCTATAGAAAACAGGTGTCCTGACGGATTTGTTTCTTAAGAAAACAGTTGTCCGAACGATTTTTTTCTATAGAAAACGGGTGTCCTGACGATTTTGTTTTGTGTAGAAAAAAGGTGTCCTGACGCATTTTTTCCTATAGAAAAATAGGTGACCTGACGATTTTTTTTCCAGTCCTCAGGTGACCTGAGAACCTCAGATTCTTGAAAAATATTTTCTTTAAAAAAAAACTTAAGACCCCCTAGGAATTTGAAAATAAGTAATCCTCAGCGATCCTGCAGATTTTTTTCGGTTCCTCAAACCTACCGTTTCTTCAAAATCTATGGCATTCTGTAGACTCAAAATATTACGCCACCATTGGTCATCACATAGGCGCGAATTCTGACCAATTAAGTTAGGCCACAATGGTCCAGAATTCAGGTGGGGTAGAATCCATGTTTGGAAGCATATCAACAAATAAACTGTGGGCAAATAACTAAAATAAAAAAATATTAAAAAAAAATCACCTTTCCCCTAATTGCAACATCCCACTTACCGACTAACTTTCAAAGCCATTCGTTTCAATAATTGAATATAGGATTTCTGTTCCATTTCCTCGGATAACTGATAGGCCGTCAGAAAACCACTAATCAATAATAGAATATCGGCATAAATCATTGGCGAACGTATCAGAACACTCAGCGGATTATCGAAGGTGCGAACAAGTTGATCACGATTTGTTATTGGCAGATGGCCAATCATGAGGAATTTCAAACATAAATACAGCATCAGGGTGGCGACCACTTTCAGCACGTGAAACAAGGGAAATGGTACATCGTGTGTATCGTCATCGGCCAAGAGAATGCCAAGGCTACGTTTCGGTGAAAATGATTTGAAGATTTCCAAAGCCAAGGTGTTCAAAGAGAGATCATCTGAAAGACAGAGAGAACATATGCGAAAACTTATTGTTGTAACTAATTTGAGATTTTTTCTCACCACTTGTTGGATCTCCTTCTTCAGCTTCTGCAGGTTCCTCAGACTTCTCAGGTTCTGTTTCCTCCTCTTTGTTTTCATTTTCAGTTTCCTGTTCCTCTGCTTCTTCTTCTTTGGTTGCCTTTTCACTTTCTTCTTCGTTTTTCTTTTCTTCATCAACTTTAGCTTCCTCTTCTTCTTTGTTGTCTCCTTCTTCACCACTTTCTGGTTTCTTTTTTAATTTTTCCATAAGGCCTTTGGAAAATTCCGATGTTTTCATGGCCATATTTTTAACAGTTCCGGCAATAATTTTCAGCACGGTCACCACACGCTGCAGCATTGGTTGTATTCGTGACCAATTCTCCCAGGCCATGGTAGACAAGGTAATAAGGAACAAGCCGATGATATATAAACTGAGGATAAATAAAAAAACAATAACTTGATTGAATTACACTCCTCTTAATCAGGAACAAATTATGAAAATATTTTCTATAGAAAAAAAGCTCAGGAGAACTGAAAAAAATTTTCTACAGAAAAAAAGCTCAGGGGTCCTTACAATTGTTTCTATTGAAGCTTAGTTGAGATGACAGTTGACCTGACAATTTTTTCTATAGAAAAAACCTCAGGGATCTTCACATTTTTTTCTATAGAAAAAAAAACTTAGGGGACCTGACAATTTTGTTCTATAGAAAAAAACTCAGGGGTCCTGACAATTATTTTCTATAGAAAAAAGCTCAGGTGGACTGACAATTTTTTCTATAGTGTCAGGTGGCCTGACAATTTTTTCTATAGAAAAAAAGCTCAGGGGACCTGACAATTATTTCTATAGAAAAAAGCTCAGGTGACCTGGCAATTTTTCTATAGAAGAAAAGCTTGGGGTCCTGACAAATTTTTCTATAGGAAAAAAGCTCAGGGGACTTGATGTGTTTTTTTTAATTGAAAAAATAACCTCAGGTACCTGACACTTTTTTAAAGGAAAAATAAGCTCCTCTGGACCCAGATTATTTTTTCTGTAGAAAGAATTGTTTCAGGATCCTGAAAAATTTTTGTCCGATGAGACCTAACACGACCTTTTTCGATTCCAAAGAAAAAATTCATTGTCAGGTCCCCTGAGGAGACTTTTTTCCCATATATAACACAATTCCTCAGTGATCTGAGGTCATACTTACACTGTGGCACAGAACTTCTTATCCTTTTGCAGAAGTTTCAAGAATTTTCTATTATGTTTAACATAGCAGTCATTGTCATCGACCTCCACATGTAGCTCCACACCGGTGTTATTGTAATCCTTTAAACTCTCCTGCAGCATTTGACGGACAACATCACCCTCGCAGGCATTGGGCACACAAATACCCCAATTGGCAACACCATAACGTGGTATGAAATGGTAGGGCTAACGGCGGAAAAATAGAATAGAAATTTAACCAAAAATCCTCCGAACCCTCACAATAACTTACATTTCCCAAATGACTATTGAACAGGCCTCGTCCGTGCAGCATATGTACCGGAATTTTCAGTTCACTCACCGATGTTTGCATCTCTATGTGGGCCAGACAATATTTGCCACGTATGCGTACCGGATGATTGGAAGTTACCTTCACTATGGTCTTTATATCCGTACACATATTAAAGTCGCCGAACTGATTGATATTGCCACGCAATAAACCGGGTCCAACTTTACCCGTGGCATCGATCACTAGAATAAAATTTTGAAAAAAAAACCGCCAACATTATCGATATCCCCAAAAAAATGAAACTTCCACAGTTTTTGTTGTTGACCTCCATTGGCCAAATGTTCTCCTCTGACTCATGTGTGCACAATTAGAGGTTTCACTGTGCGCACATTTATTTTTCTTCTTCTTTTCTACACACATTTTGGATAATTAAATAAACAAAAACAAATGCTCGTCTATATATGGAATTCCATATTAGCCAATTAAAATTTAAAAATAATTATTTGAATTTTTACCCATCAGCTGAGTACTGTCTGCCAAGTGCCTTCGATAGCTCAGTTGGTAGAGCGGTGGACTGTAGTTCGGTTTGCATTCAAACATCAACAAAATCGGTTCGTATTCGTTGCCCTCAAAAGTGGCGAATTCGAACAAACACGTCTCTATGCAGGCATCCATAGGTCGCTGGTTCAAATCCGGCTCGAAGGAGTAACACCAATTTTTGGATTTATTAAAGAATATTTTTCAGAGGATCAACTGAGGCGTGGATTTATTAAAGAATATTTTTCAGAGGACCCATTAAGGCGTGGATTTATTAAAGAATATTTTTCAGAGGACCCATTAAGGCGTGGATTTATTAAAGAATATTTTTCAGAGGACCCATTAAGGCGTGGATTTATTAAAGAATATTTTTCAGAGGACCCATTAAGGCGTGGATTTATTAAAGAATATTTTTCAGAGGACCCATTAAGGCGTGGATTTATTAAAGAATATTTTTCAGAGGACCCATTAAGGCGTGGATTTATTAAAGAATATTTTTCAGAGGACCCATTAAGGCGTGGATTTATTAAAGAATATTTTTCAGAGGACCCATTAAGGCGTGGATTTATTAAATAATAAAAAAACAATCCAAATTTGTTAAACACATTGTTCAGAGATCTATAATGTCCTAATTTTCTAAAAGAAAGGGATTGGGTTGGCACCCAACCCTTCAACTGTAATTCCCTTCCAGTTTTTTTTATTTTAAACTTACTCTGCAAAGTCCACAATTTGTGACCCCTCAGCTGGCGCTGGAAAATCTGCAACTGTTCACGACATTCACCATTCTCTATATCCTGAGGTTTGACAATAAAATTCGGCAGACTATAGAGTAGATTATCAAATGATTCCTGACTCATTGGTGGTTCATGGGATGCGGCATCCTCGTCCCTTGAAGCATCTCGGCTGGGTTTCTTGGCCACCTTTGGCATTTTAATGGGTTTTGGTGGCTTTCCAATGGGGAATAGGCTATTGAAGGGCCAACGATTTAAATAATTCATCCATGATTCCCCACTACTCTCCGATGAGGCGGCTTGGGCGGAGGTGTCTTCTGTGGAATCGGGTCTCAAACGTCCTGTTCTTTCACCTAACCATAAAATCCAATCAATGATGCCATTTGATTTTGTGGCGGCTGGTTCTTCGGCAGATTCTTGTTGTTGTTGTTTGCTGGAGTCATCTTTATTTGAACTGCCACCACCGAATAGAGATGAAAACCAGGAACCAGATTTTTCTTGACTTTCAGTACTAGACGCTTTTTGTTTGGTAGATCTTGCTGGTTTTTCGGCCTTACGCGCCTTTTTAAACCGATACTCTTCTTCTTCGTCATCATTGTTGGCACTGTTGATCGAGGCAGCTCGTTCTTTGCGTGATACACCTTCCTCATCCTCCTCCTCTTCGTCTTTTTCTTGAGTCGCCTCTTCATCCTCGTCTAATTCTTCGCCTGCATTATTCTCCTCAGTCCTATCGTGGAGATTGTTGGATGCATTGTCGTCACCGCCGCCATCGGCATCCTCATCGCCCGCCTCGTCTTCATCATAGCCTTCGGGTATAACCCGTTCAATTTTATGAAATTTATATTTCTTTTCGACCAGGTGGCGTTTGGGCTGCTTACGTCCTTCCCTGCTGGCCGAAGTGCCAGCTGCCTCCTTTGATTTGCCGTCGTCATCACCCCAGCCAAAGGAAAATTCCTGTGAGGGTGGTACGAATGTTAGGGCCAACAAAAGTACCACCAAGAACCAAGACCACTTCATATATTTGAATGATTCCCGGGCCATTTTTCTTTCTTTCGTTTGTTGTCGTTGTTGTTTTTGTTTTCTCAGTTAATTCACTTTCATTTGTTTGTCGTAGTATTTAGAGTGTGTGTGTGCGTGGGTCTGTGTTCGTTCGAAGGGTCTTCCCTTTTCTTTTTCACACCCTCTCACCTTTGTCACTTGTCTTTTTTGATTATATAAATTACAAGAAATATTTCATTATTGCGGAAATTTTCTTTAATTTTTCCTCAATTTTTCTCTCAAATTTATGAATGAATTTTCGTTTTCCCACTTCGTTGGGAATTTTCACAGCAAAGAATTTCTTCTATAAATATTCACAATGTTTCGTTTCAGAATTATATATGTATATTCGTTGCACCTTTCCCGTTGCACTATAGGCTGAGGGTGCCTGCCTTTGAGGTGTCTTCTTGCCTTACGGGCTCGCGTTCAACCGATCGACCATTTAATTCGAAAATTCAGCTGCAACTGAAGAATTGTGTGGCAGTGGTTTGCCACATAGCTGGCTGCACTTGTTGCACATGTCAACATAGAAAAATTATTGTCAAAATTAAATGTGGATGCTGAGGTGAGGAGGGGTTGTTCGAATTTTTCTGCGAAACACATAGAAAGTCATGTTCGCCATGAATTTGGCGCATACAGGAGCCTAAAAATTATTCTTTAATAAATACACGCCTATGGAGGAGCCTAAAAAATATTCTTTAATAAATACACACCTATGGAGGAGCCTAAAAAATATTCTTTAATAAATTCACGCCTATGGAAGAGCCTAAACATATTATTTAATAAATCCACGCCTATGGAGGAGCCTAAAAAATATTCTTTAATAAATTCACGCCTATGGAGGACCCTAAAAAAATAATCGTTAATAAATCCACGCCAATGGAGGACACTAAAAAATTATTCTTTAATAAATCCACGCCTATGGAGGACCCTAAAAAATTATTCTTTAAAAATCCACGCCTATGGAGGACCCTAAAAAATATACTTTAATAAATCCACGCCTCTGTAGGACCCTAAAAAATATTCTTTAATAAATCCACGCCTATGGAGGACCCTAAAAATATACTTTAATAAATCCACGCCTATGTAGGACCCTAAAAAATATTCTTTAATAAATCCACGCCTATGGAGAGCCCTAAAAAATATTGTTTAATAAATCCACGCCAATGGAGGACCCTAAAAAAATAATCGTTAATAAATCCACGCCTATGGAGGAGCCTAAAAAATATTCTTTAATAAGTACACACCTATGGAGGAGCCTAAAAAATATTCTTTAATAAATTCACGCCTATGGAGGACCCTAAAAAATAATCGTTAATAAATCCACGCCAATGGAGGACACTAAAAAATTATTCTTTAATAAATCCACGCCTATGGAGGACCCTAAAAAATTATTCTTTAAAAAATCCACGCCTATGGAGGACCCTTTAAAATATACTTTAATAAATCCACGCCTCAGTTGGCCCTTGAAAAATATTATTTAATAAATCCATGCCTATGGAGGCCGGATCATTTCTTTTTTTAAAAAAAACACATACATTTTATAAAAAAACACTTTGGCCTTTATTACCAATTAAGAGAGGGGGGCAAGTAAATATACTTAAATTAAATTATATACATACATTTATAAATTAACAATTAAAGAAATTAAATGAAATGATTATTGAGTATCGTGAGAAGAGTCGTGGGACAAATTATCACAATAAATGGGGAATGATAATCAAATATTGTCGAAAAAAAATACCCGAATGATGTATCCTTAAAAACTATCACAGTTGTAATTCTTAAATATTAAAGATTTACGCCACTTGTTCTTCAGATGTAGATGGCGTTGTATCACTTGTACTATTGCTATGCTGTTTATTCGCTGCCGAACCTCGAACACCAAAGTGACGCATTAACACACGTTCTACGGCATGCAATGGCGATTCGAAGATCAGACACAAAATAAATGCCAGACCAAATGTGTTCAGGGTATGTGTAATCATGTAGTTCATCTGAAAGTATGGGAATTTTTCAAATTAAAATCGATTCGGCAATGAGAATTTTCTGAAATCTTACCATTTCAATGTATCCGGCACGTTCCACAGTTCGCTGACTGGCTGTAGTATAAAGCTCGACAATACCATTGCAGAGATAAGCACAGTAGGTTAATCGGGAGAATGGTACAAATACACGCCAGCTAAGCATACGTTGAACCCATCCGCCATGTCCCGTGGTCACTGCCAACACCAACCAACCAGTTGCCAAATTCCAGGCTAATTTATGCAGGCCGGCATATATGGTGCTTTCAATGTTGGAGTAGGGAGCGGAATAGAAGCGACTTAGAGAGAACATGGAACCTACACCCATAACACAACCTAGGGTCCACATTGTACGCACCAAGGTTTTTGACAATTTTATTCTGGAAGTATTGGAGTTTAACATTAAAAAAATCGCTGAGGTGTGAATTTTTTATATATAAAAGTTCGCTTCAGGTTCACTGAAATTTGACTCAGGTCTTCGGAAGTGTCTTTTTTTCTATAGAAAAAATTTGCCTCAGGTCTCCGGAAGTGTCTTTTTTCTATATAGAAAAAAATTCGCGTCAGGTCCCCTAAGGTGACTAATTTTTTTCTATAGAAAAAAATTCGAGTCAGGTCCCCTGAGGTGACTACTTTTTTTCTATAGAAAAAAATTCGCGTCAGGTCCCCTGAGGTGACTACTTTTTTTCTATAGAAAAAAAAATCACGTCAGCTCACGTCCCCTCAGGTGAACCAATTTTTTTCTATAGAAAAAAATTCGCGTCACGTCCCCTAAGGTGACTATTTTTTTCTACAGAAAAAAAATTCGGGTCAGGTCCCCTGATGTGACTTTTTTTCTATAGGCCTTGGTTGGAAATTTTGCGCCCCCTTAAATATATATTTACCTCTTGCAGTGTATCACATGTGCCAAGTAGCCAATTCCCAGGCCAATAAAATAGGCTGAGGCCCTCATGTGGGTCTTGATGTAAGTATCGTGATAATAATCGCTCAGAACCACATCCTCAGCTTCCCTGTAAAAATTGAAAATTGCCATTTAATTATTTTCAATTATATTCAGAATGTTATACTCACTTCCTGGTAACCATAAATGTGGGTTGGACCTCTTTCATATAGGTGACCACAAATGGTATAGCCGAAGTTATGCCAATAAGCCCCGCCAATACCGTTAAACCACATTTACGGAATTTATAGATCAAGAATAACACCAAGGGAGCTATGATAAATAGTTGAGTATCTGCCGATAAATACCAGGATTGGAACATGCACTGTAAGTATTCGAAATCAATTTTTTAATTTAAATCTATAATTCAAAATCCATTTTTTTCAGAACCTACCAAATTCTCTGTATCTATGTAATTGTTGATATATAAAATATTCAACCACCACGAGGATAGACAACGTTCCTGTTGCGGTTCAATACGCTTCTGCCAAATGGGTCCGTTGCCGATATTCAGAAACCAGGTCATATAGAAACCAATTACCACCATATAGGGTGGTGTCAGCCGAATATAACGCCCAAAATATAAAAATAATGGATTCAAGCGGCCCTTCCTCCTCTCCACTTCAACAAAGGCTATGCGGAAAAAGAGATAGCCGCTCAACAGCAAGTAGACATCGACAAAAAGTAGAGAATTTACAACGAAGCCAACAAGGGGATTTTTTAAATTCTGAAAGGAAAAAAACATTCGATATATTGGAAGTAGGATCTTTAAAGTAGACCCTGTTATAAACTTACCTCCGACATAAAATCCACATTATACAAAGGACTGCCGTATATAAAAATCGCCGCATGTCCAAAAAGTATAAAAATCATCGCCAAGGCTTTAACACCATTCAGAGGATTTAGCCCATTTTGATCGCCGCTGGGTTGAAATAGTTTTTTGGTATTTTCTGAAAAAAAAACAGTAACATAATTTTAATTCGAAAGGTGGGATATATTCGGAGGATCGAATATGGAAGTGTAAGACCCCCATTTGTACCTACCAATTACTGAAAATGATAAAAGGGCAGTCTTCCAGATTTCATTGCTGCTCATTGCTTTTTTCAGATCATCCTGGCTAGCTGACGATTTTTTCAGATAAATATGATAGCCGGTACAGAAAATTGTTAGAAAGGCAAAGAATATTACAATGGAACTAGAAGAAGAAGCACAAAATAAAAATAAGATTAAAAATATTTGGGTCAAATAAATAAAAATCCATGCCTATAAAGGGTCTTTGAAAAAAATATTCTTAAAAAGTCCTCGAGGTCCCTAGCAAAATATTCTTTAATAAATCCACGTCTATTGAGGACCCTAAAAATAATAAATCCACGCTTATATAGCTCCCCTGAAAAATATGTTTTAATATATCACTAAACCCATATTCTTTTATAAATCTACGTAGGACCCTAAACCAATATTCTTTAATAAATGTACGCATTCTTCAATAAATCCACGCCTATTGAGGACCCTAATAAAATAATCTTTAATATATCCCCACATATTGAGGACCATAAAAAATAACCTTTAATAAATCCACGCTTATTAATGACCCCAAAAAAATATTCTTTAATATATGCCCACCTATTGAGGACCCTGGCAAAATATTGTTTAATAAATCCACGCCTATTGAGGACCCTGGCAAAATATTGTTTAATAAATCTACGCCTATTGTGGACCCTAAAAAAATAATCTTTAATGAATCCACGCCTATTGTGGACCCTAAAAAAATAATCTTTAATGAATCCACGCCTATTGAGGACCCTGAAAAATATTCTTTAATGAATCCACGCCTCAGTTGGCCCTTGAAAAATATTCTTTAATAAATCCACGCCTCAGTTGGCCCTTGAAAAATAATCTTTAATAAATCCACGCCTCAGTTGGCCCTTGAAAAATATTCTTTAATAAATCCACGCCTCAGTTGGCCCTTGAAAAATATTCTTTAATAAATCCACGCCTCACTTGGCCCTTGAAAAATAATCTTTAATAAATCCACGCCTCGATATGACTTTTTGCACTATTTCTTTAATAAATCCACGCCTATTGTGGACCCTAAAAAAATAATCTTTAATGAATCCACGCCTATTGTGGACCCTAAAAAAATAATCTTTAATGAATCCACGCCTATTGTGGACCCTAAAAAAATAATCTTTAATGAATCCACGCCTATTGAGGACCCTGGCAAAATATTCTTTAATAAACCTGGCAAAATATTCTTTAATAAATCCACGCCTATTGAGGACCCTGGCAAAATATTCTTTAATAAATCCACGCCTATTGAGGACCCTGGCAAAATATTCTTTAATAAATCCACGCCTATTGAGGACCCTGGCAAAATATTCTTTAATAAATCCATGCCTATGGAGGACCCTAAAAAATATTCTTTTAATAAAAAAATATTCTTTTAATAAGTCCGCGCCTATTGAGGACCCTAAAAAATATTATTTTAATAAATCCACGCCTATGGAGGACCCTAAAAAATATTCTTTTAATAAATCCACGCCTATGGAGGACCCTAAAAAATAATCATTAATAAATCCACGCATATGGAAGATCCTAAAAAAATAATCCTTAATATATCACCACCTATTGAGGACCCTAAAAAATAATCATTAATAAATCCACGCATATGGAGGATCCTAAAAAAAAAATAATCTTTAATATATCCACGCCTATGGAGGACCCAAAAAAATATTCGTTAATAAATCCCCACATATTGAGGACCCTAAAGAAATAATCTTTAATAAATCCACGCCTCAGTTGGCCCTTGAAAAATATTCTTTAATAAATCCACGCCTCAGTTGGCCCTTGAAAAATATTCTTTAATAAATCCAAGCCTAAGGACCCTAAAATATATTCTTTAGTATATTCCTACCTACTGATGACCCTAAAAAAATATTCTTTAATATGTCCCCACCTATTGATGAACCTAAAAAAAATTTTAATAAATTGACGCCATAAATTGTCCCTGAAAAAATATTCTACCTTTATTATGGGTCCTTGACAATACTATAATATTTGTACAAAATTATGATTGACATTAAAAAAACCCGTTACATTTACTGCTATTATTACACAATCCCTGCATGTCAATTAGCCAAAAACGATATATACCTCTTGAGTACCCCCTGACAAAGAATACTTACGCATATGCAAACATTCCACCAGTTATGGTTCGGCTTCCGTTCGCCGCCTTTGACAATTGGCACATTTCAGCGTTGACCGTCACATTGCGTTGCAGAATATGGTGCAAGAAAATTGCAACATCTGAGCTACTGCAGGAGGCCGGTACACATTCGCCCCAATGCGAAATCACCGTCGGCTGAAAGAAAGAAACAAAAACAAAACAACAGTAAATTAAAAGCGAATGTTAACATGTGTAGTTGTTATTGTTTTTGTTGTTCGATTTAAGTTAATTGTATAATTACAATGCTCGAGACATTCAGTACATTATTCGGACGTACGGATCCAAGTGACCAAGTCAGTGATCAATGGCTGTTTGGTCGGTAGGTTGGCTGTGACTTTTACAACAGTTGCCGTTTGGCATTTACATTGAGAATTGCAGTCTCGAAATCGAATTGCCATTTTGCATGGAAATTATATTGGTGTTGTAGTTGTTGTTGGCAACCTTGTTTTATTGTAAGGTAATAAAACAAATAAATAATTGATTTATATGTAGCTGACATCGAGATGATGTGATGGGTTCACACATAGTTACCGATTTTATTTTAATTTGTGCAAAATATCAATTTTATGCTTGATCATGAGTATATTAGGGTGGATTAGTTTAAAGAATATTTTTTCAGGGACCCATTAAGGTTTTTTTTATTTATTAAGGAATATTTTGTTGAGAGGAGCTATCGAGATGGGGATTTACTAAAGAATATTTTGTTGAGGGACCCATTAAGGCGTGGATGTAATAAAAAATTTTTTAACAGAACCCATTAAGGCGTGGATTTATTAATGAATATTTTTCAAGGGCCAACTGAGGCGTGGATTTATTAAAGAATATTTTTCAGGGGCCAACTGAGGCGTGGATTTATTAAATAATATTTTTCAGGGCCAAAGGCGTGGATTTATTAAAGAATATTTTTCAGGCTCCCCATTAAGGCGTGGATTTATTAAAGAATATTTTTCAGGGGCCAACTGAGGCGTGGATTTATTAAAAAATATTTTTCAAGGGCCAACTGAGGCGTGGATTTATTAAAGAATATTTTTCAGGCTCCCCATTAAGGCGTGGATTTATTAAAGAATATTTTTCAGGCTCCCCATTAAGGCGTGGATTTATTAAAGAATATTTTTCAGGCTCCCCATTAAGGCGTGGATTTATTAAAGAATATTTTTCAGGCTCCCCATTAAGGCGTGGATTTATTAAAGAATATTTTTCAGGCTCCCCATTAAGGTGTGGATTTTTTAAAGAATATTTTTCAGGCTCCCCATTAAGGCGTGGATTTATTAAAGAATATTTTTCAGGGTCCCCATTAAGGCGTGGATTTATTAAAGAATATTTTTCAGGGTCCCCATTAAGGCGTGGATTTATTAAAGAATATTTTTCAGGGTCCCCATTAAGGCGTGGATTTATTAAAGAATATTTTTCAGGGGGACTATAAAGGCTTGGATTTTTCTCTCCATAATGTCAATGTCCACACCTACTCGTTGCTTATTTCATTGTGGCAATTTTTTTTCAAATATTGAGGTCAACTACCTTTCATATATTTTTTATTCAATAATAAACATTTCTAAGTACCTATTAAAATATTTTAATTGCTATTACAAAAAAACGCATATAATATGCATATGCAAATTTCGTAATGAGAATCTATAAATTTTAGCAAAATTGTTATTAGATGTTATTAATCATGCTGTCAGATTTTTTTTTTAATTTCGTTTTTATCTACAACAATTATTATCTCTCCATTACAATAACGAATTGTAATTTGCCATTGCAGAGTCTCGGGCATTCAACTGAGAGTTCATTATCACGCCTGACACCTGCTCTAGACAACACTTTCATTGATATTTTTTAAATATTTTCAAATTAAATAAATTATTATTTGATTATTATTTGATTGTATGCATTATTATTTAATACCCCAAAATATTCTTGAATTAAAATTCTATGCGAAAATAGAAATTAATGAATAAATTACCGCATGACATTCCCCTTCCGATGTAGAACAGGTTCAAAATCTGATTTTGGTATTTAACGGTTTAAATGAAGTGTGTAAAAATTAAAAATTTTAATTATCATTTTTGAGAATGTGCGGTAGTTAAAATATTTACTTAAATTATCCCACAAAGTATTTTAGTTCGCTGACGTTGGTAGACGTTAATAATTTTTGATTTGAATGATGACAAATAACTTCCAAAAAAAATTAATCATTATTCCAGCCTATTACAATTATCATTAACAGTAAATTAGAAAACAAACACGATATCTTCATTTCCATAAATTAAATCAAAATTATAATTTTCTCGTTTTAAATAAACCGAACAGCCGATTTAAATTTGACACAAAAAATATTTATGTCAATGAACTATGATCATCATTATGGAATTTACAAAACAAAATAATTTTTTTTTAAATTAACAATTAAAAATATTCTTGAAAAACTAATCTTTAATAAATCCACGCCTCTATTGGTCCCTGAAAAACTACTCTTTAATAAATCCACGCCTCTATTGGTCCCTGAAAAACTACTCTTTAATAAATCCACGCCTCTATTGGTCCCTGAAAAACTACTCTTTAATAAATCCACGCCTCTATTGGTCCCTGAAAAACTACTCTTTAATAAATCCACGCCTCTATTGGTCCCTGAAAAACTACTCTTTAATAAATCCACGCCTCTATTGGTCCCTGAAAAACTACTCTTTAATAAATCCACGCCTCTATTGGTCCCTGAAAAATATTCTTTAATAAATCCACGCCTCTATTGGTCCCTGAAAAATATTCTTTAATAAATCCACGCCTCTATTGGTCCCTGAAAAATATTCTTTAATAAATCCACGCCTCTATTGGTCCCTGAAAAACTACTCTTTAATAAATCCACGCCTCTATTGGTCCCTGAAAAACTACTCTTTAATAAATCCACGCCTCTATTGGTCCCTGAAAAACTACTCTTTAATAAATCCACGCCTCTATTGGTCCCTGAAAAACTACTCTTTAATAAATCCACGCCTCAGTTGGCCCTTGAAAAATACTCTTTAATAAATCCACGCCTCAGTTGGCCCTTGAAAAATAATCTTTAATAAATCCACGCCTCTATTGGTCCCTGAAAAACTAATCTTTAATAAATCCACGCCTCTATTGGTCCCTGAAAAACTAATCTTTAATAAATCCACGCCTCTATTGGTCCCTGAAAAACTAATCTTTAATAAATCCACGCCTCTATTGGTCCCTGAAAAACTAATCTTTAATAAATCCACGCCTCTATTGGTCCCTGAAAAACTAATCTTTAATAAATCCACGCCTCTATTGGTCCCTGAAAAATATTCTTTAATAAATCCACGCCTCAGTTGGCCCTTGAAAAAATATTCTTTAATAAATCCAAGCCTCAGTTGGCCCTTGAAAAATATTCTTTAATAAAGCCACTCCTTTATAGGCATCCCTGAAACATATTATTAAAAGTTATGGGAACGCCACTGTTAATGGCTTCCAGATAATTATCTGGAAATCATTATAATGATTCTACCACGTGTAGCCGTGACGTCGTTTGTAATCAAAACAAGTTACATTACTAGAATTCTTGTTTTTCTATCTTGCAGGTCTGGTCATTTGCAGAATATTTGTTTGTTTTTGTTTTGCCAATCGATTTCCCCATACTTTTCAAACGGCATTTACCAAACTGGTATTTGTGTTGCCGGTCGTAAAACGATTGGACGGACGACTAGACTGACTGACTTATTGATTACAAAACGTAGAATATAGTTCTTCTAGAAACTACTAATGGCTAATGGGGTAATGTCGCAAAAAAAATGTTGCAAAACATATATTTCCATATTTAATGGAAACACAGCTACTAGAAGTGGTGGTGGTATAAGAGTGGGGTATAAGACTTAATGTGAGTCTCATATGAGAAGAATATGTAATGTCTTTAAATTAAAGGCCTTGATATGGGTTCTTTTGTGGGTCTTCCATTATTTAAATATCTGTTTTGGATCGTTCATAGGTAAACATTTGTTAGGATAAAAGGTCTTCCAAAGTGTTTATGGGAGAATCCACCCTGGTGTCTTCCACATAAAAAGTTTACAAACAAAGTAGAGACATTTTTTTGCAAAAGAAATTCAAATTAAAAAAATCTTACCTCAGTCCTTTGTTGATAATGTTGCGGCGGTTCTGCCTCTCCATCCCCATCCAGTAATATTCCATTCAGCGTCACATCAACTAGACAATATTGAACGATTACAGCTTCCTGATAATTCCAGCCAATCGATGTTGGTGTTGTTATTGTTGTTGTTGGCTTACTCGAAGATTCTAAGCATTGATCAAAATGTCCCATTTGATAGTAGACTTTACTGCCGGTGCCAATGGCATTTCGTACCGAGGCATCGTACACTGAAACGAAGTGAATGGAATAAATTAATTGTTTGTATTAAATAACAATAATAAAACTATTATGAAATTTATTTTGTTTTTCTTTTTTTGTTTAGTACATTGTCACCAAGAAGGTTGTAAGTAATGCAAATTTAAATTATCGCGGCTCGACAATGAGATACGCAACAGTGGAGCTCTATGTTTGTTTTTTATGAATATTTTTTAAGGTTCTCAATAGGCGTGGATTTATGAAAGAATATTTTTCAAGGGCCAACTGAGGCGTGGATTTATTACAGAATATTTTTTCAGGGACCAATAGAGGCGTGGATTTATTAAAGAATATTTTTCAGGGACCAATAGAGGCGTGGATTTATTAAAGAATATTTTTCAGGGACCAATAGAGGCGTAGATTAATTAAAGAATATTTTTTTCAGGGACCTTCAAAGGCGTGGATTTATTAAAGAATACCTTTTCAGGGACCAATAAAGGCGTGGATTTATTAAAGAATACCTTTTCAGGGACCAATAGAGGCGTGGATTTATTAAAGAATACCTTTTCAGGGACCAATAGAGGCGTGGATTAATTAAAGAATATTTTTTTCAGGGACCTTCAAAGGCGTGGATTTATTTAAGAATATTTTTTTCAAGGGCCTTCTGAGGCGTGGATTTATTAAAGTATTTTTTTCAAGGGCCAACTGAGGCGTGGATTTATTAAAGAATATTTTTCAAGGGCCAACTGAGGCGTGGATTTATTAAAGAATATTTTTCAAGGGCCAACTGAGGCGTGGATTTATTAAAGAATATTTTTCAAGGGCCAACTGAGGCGTGGATTTATTAAAGAATATTTTTTAAGGGCCAACTGAGGCGTGGATTTATTAAAGAATATTTTTCAAGGGCCAACTGAGGCGGGGATTTATTAAAGAATATTTTTCAAGGGCCAAGGGCCAACTGAGGCGTGGATTTATTAAAGAATATTTTTAAAGGGCCAACAGAGGCGTGGATTTATTAAATAATAATTTTCAAGGGCCAACTGAGGCGTGGATTTATTAAAGAATATTTTTCAAGGGCCAACTGAGGCGTGGATTTATTAAAGAATATTTTTCAAGGGCCAACTGAGGCGTGGATTTATTAAAGAATATTTTTCAAGGGCCAACTGAGGCGTGGATTTATTAAAGAATATTTTTCAAGGGCCAACTGAGGCGTGGATTTATTAAAAAATATTTTTAAGGGCCAACTGAGGCGTGGATTTATTAAAGAATATTTTTCAAGGGCCAACTGAGGCGTGGATTTATTAAATAATAATTTTCAAGGGCCAACTGAGGCGTGGATTAATTAAAGAATATTTTTCAAGGGCCAACTGAGGCGTGGATTTATTAAAGAATATTTTTCAAGGGCCAACTGAGGCGTGGATTTATAAAGAATATTTTTCAAGGGCCAACTGAGGCGTGGATTTATTAAAGAATATTTTTCAAGGGCCAACTGAGGCGTGGATTTATTAAAGAATATTTTTCAAGGGCCAACTGATGCGTGGATTTATTAAAGAATATTTTTCAAGGGCCAACTGAGGCGTGGATTTATTAAAGAATATTTTTCAAGGGCCAAAGGCGTGGATATATTAAAAAATATTTTTCAAGGGCCATACTGAGGCGTGGATTTATTAAAGAATATTTTTCAAGGGCCAACTGAGGCGTGGATTTATTAAAGAATATTTTTCAAGGGCCAACTGAGGCGTGGATTTATTAAAGAATATTTTTCAAGGGCCAACTGAGGCAGTGGATTTAACAATAAAACAACAAAATATTAGTTTCAAGGGCCAACTGAGGCGTGGATTTATTAAAGAATATTTTTCAAGGGCCAACTGAGGCGTGGATTTATTAAAGAATATTTTTAAAGGGCCAACTGAGGCGTGGATTTATTAAAGAATATTTTTCAAGGGCCAACTGAGGCGTGGATTTTTCAAGGGCCAATTAAAGAATATTTTTCAAGGGCCAACTGATTTGGATTTATTAAAGAATATTTTTCAAGGGCCAACTGAGGCGTGGATTTATTAAAGAATATTTTTCAAGGGCCAACTGAGGCGTGGATTTATTAAAGAATATTTTTCAAGGGCCAACTGAGGCGTGGATTTATTAAAGAATATTTTTCAAGGGCCAACTGAGGCGTGGATTTATTAAAGAATATTTTTCAAGGGCCAACTGAGGCGTGGATTTATTAAAGAATATTTTTCAAGGGCCAACTGAGGCGTGGATTTATTAAAGAATATTTTTCAAGGGCCAACTGAGGCGTGGATTTATTAAAGAATATTTTTCAAGGGCCAACTGAGGCGTGGATTTATTAAAGAATATTTTTCAAGGGCCAACTGAGGCGTGGATTTATTAAAGAATATTTTTCAAGGGCCAACTGAGGCGTGGATTTATTAAAGAATATTTTTCAAGGGCCAACTGAGGCGTGGATTTATTAAAGAATATTTTTCAAGGGCCAACTGAGGCGTGGATTTATTAAAGAATATTTTTCAAGGGCCAACTGAGGCGTGGATTTATTAAAGAATATTTTTCAAGGGCCAACTGAGGCGTGGATTTATTAAAGAATATTTTTCAAGGGCCAACTGAGGCGTGGATTTATTAAAGAATATTTTTCAAGGGCCAACTGAGGCGTGGATTTATTAAAGAATATTTTTCAAGGGCCAACTGAGGCGTGGATTTATTAAAGAATATTTTTCAAGGGCCAACTGAGGCGTGGATTTATTAAAGAATATTTTTCAAGGGCCAACTGAGGCGTGGATTTATTAAAGAATATTTTTCAAGGGCCAACTGAGGCGTGGATTTATTAAAGAATATTTTTCAAGGGCCAACTGAGGCGTGGATTTATTAAAGAATATTTTTCAAGGGCCAACTGAGGCGTGGATTTATTAAAGAATATTTTTCAAGGGCCAACTGAGGCGTGGATTTATTAAAGAATATTTTTCAAGGGCCAACTGAGGCGTGGATTTATTAAAGAATATTTTTCAAGGGCCAACTGAGGCGTGGATTTATTAAAGAATATTTTTCAAGGGCCAACTGAGGCGTGGATTTATTAAAGAATATTTTTCAAGGGCCAACTGAGGCGTGGATTTATTAAAGAATATTTTTCAAGGGCCAACTGAGGCGTGGATTTATTAAAGAATATTTTTCAAGGGCCAACTGAGGCGTGGATTTATTAAAGAATATTTTTCAAGGGCCAACTGAGGCGTGGATTTAGCCAACTGAGGCGTCGATTTATTAAAGAATATTTTTCAAGGGCCAACTGAGGCGTGGATTTATTAAAGAATATTTTTCAAGGGCCAACTGAGGCGTGGATTTATTAAAGAATATTTTTCAAGGGCCAACTGAGGCGTGGATTTATTAAAGAATATTTTTCAAGGGCCAACTGAGGCGTGGATTTATTAAAGAATATTTTTCAAGGGCCAACTGAGGCGTGGATTTATTAAAGAATATTTTTCAAGGGCCAACTGAGGCGTGGATTTATTAAAGAATATTTTTCAAGGGCCAACTGAGGCGTGGATTTATTAAAGAATATTTTTCAAGGGCCAACTGAGGCGTGGATTTATTAAAGAATATTTTTCAAGGGCCAACTGAGGCGTGGATTTATTAAAGAATATTTTTCAAGGGCCAACTGAGGCGTGGATTTATTAAAGAATATTTTTCAAGGGCCAACTGAGGCGTGGATTTATTAAAGAATATTTTTCAAGGGCCAACTGAGGCGTGGATTTATTAAAGAATATTTTTCAAGGGCCAACTGAGGCGTGGATTTATTAAAGAATATTTTTCAAGGGCCAACTGAGGCGTGGATTTATTAAAGAATATTTTTCAAGGGCCAACTGAGGCGTGGATTTATTAAAGAATATTTTTCAAGGGCCAACTGAGGCGTGGATTTATTAAAGAATATTTTTCAAGGGCCAACTGAGGCGTGGATTTATTAAAGAATATTTTTCAAGGGCCAACTGAGGCGTGGATTTATTAAAGAATATTTTTCAAGGGCCAACTGAGGCGTGGATTTATTAAAGAATATTTTTCAAGGGCCAACTGAGGCGTGGATTTATTAAAGAATATTTTTTATTAAAGAATATTTTTCAAGGGCCAACTGAGGCGTGGATTTATTAAAGAATATTTTTCAAGGGCCAACTGAGGCGTGGATTTATTAAAGAATATTTTTCAAGGGCCAACTGAGGCGTGGATTTATTAAAGAATATTTTTCAAGGGCCAACTGAGGCGTGGATTTATTAAAGAATATTTTTCAAGGGCCAACTGAGGCGTGGATTTATTAAAGAATATTTTTCAAGGGCCAACTGAGGCGTGGATTTATTAAAGAATATTTTTCAAGGGCCAACTGAGGCGTGGATTTATTAAAGAATATTTTTCAAGGGCCAACTGAGGCGTGGATTTATTAAAGAATATTTTTCAAGGGCCAACTGAGGCGTGGATTTATTAAAGAATATTTTTCAAGGGCCAACTGAGGCGTGGATTTATTAAAGAATATTTTTCAAGGGCCAACTGAGGCGTGGATTTATTAAAGAATATTTTTCAAGGGCCAACTGAGGCGTGGATTTATTAAAGAATATTTTCAAGGGCCAACTGAGGCGTGGATTTATTAAAGAATATTTTTCAAGGGCCAACTGAGGCGTGGATTTATTAAAGAATATTTTTCAAGGGCCAACTGAGGCGTGGATTTATTAAAGAATATTTTTCAAGGGCCAACTGAGGCGTGGATTTATTAAAGAATATTTTTCAAGGGCCAACTGAGGCGTGGATTTATTAAAGAATATTTTTCAAGGGCCAACTGAGGCGTGGATTTATTAAAGAATATTTTTCAAGGGCCAACTGAGGCGTGGATTTATTAAAGAATATTTTTCAAGGGCCAACTGAGGCGTGGATTTATTAAAGAATATTTTTCAAGGGCCAACTGAGGCGTGGATTTATTAAAGAATATTTTTCAAGGGCCAACTGAGGCGTGGATTTATTAAAGAATATTTTTCAAGGGCCAACT